GTTGGCGGCGTCTTCTTTGCCGCTGATGAGCTGCTCCGGGTGGAACAGGGAGTGGTAGGTCCCGGTCCGGATCTCATCTGCCAAGTGGGGGGGGGGGGGGGGAGAGAAGGAGAATTAGAGGAAGGGTCCCGTTTTGGAAAGGGCCACAATCGGCCAGCCGTAGGGAAAGGCGAAAAGAAGGGAGGGGAAAGGAGAAGGCCTCTAGGGTAGAACGGTGGGGGGGTCCTTCGTGCTCTCGGAACTTGGGGGGTTTCCTTGCAGACCTTTCGTGACCCGGCTTGGTAATATCATCAGCGCTAAAAGGGAGTGGGTGTGTGGAGAGGGGGAGGAGTTTGGGAGGAGGAATGTTGTCTGAACTTTGCTAGTTTCATGATGATATCATGAGGAAGAGGAGGAGGAGGAGGAGGAGAGGGGGGAGGAGGAGGAGGGGGAAGAGGAGGAGTAGTAGTAAAAGGAGAAGGAGAAGAGGAGGAGCAGGAGGAGGAGAAAAAGGAGGAGGAGGAGGAGAAGAGGAAAAAATGGAGGAGGAGAAGAAGAGGAGGATGGGGAAGAAGGGAGAGAAGGAGAAAAAGGGGGAAGAGGAGGAGGAGAGGAGGGAGAGGGGAAAAGGAGGAGGAGGAGAAAAGGAAGGAGGAGGAGTAGAAGGGGAGGAGAAAAAGAAGAAGAAGAGGAGGAGGAGGGGGAGAAGGAGGAGAAGAAGAGGAGGAGGGGAAAGAAGGGGAAGAGAAGGAGAAAAAGAGGGGGAAGAGGAGGAGAAGAGGAGGAAGAGGGGAAAAAGGAGGAGGAGGAGGAGGAGAAAAGGAAGGAGGAGGAGAAGAAGGGGAGGAGAAAAAGAAGAAGAGGAGGAGGTGGAGAAAAAGGAGAAGGAAGAGAAGAGGAGGAGAGGAAAGAAGGGGAAGAGAAGGAGAAAAGGGGGGAAGAGGAGGAGAGGGGGAGGGGGAGGGGAAAAAGAAGGGGGAGGAGAAGAAGGGGAGGAGAAAAAAGATGAGGAGGAGGTGGAGAAAAAGGAGAAGGAGGAGGAGAAAAAGGAGTAGGAGGAGAAGAAGAGGAGAAGGAGAGAAGGAGAAAAAGAGGGGGAAGAGGAGAAGAAGAGGGGGGAGGGGAAAAAGGAGGAGGAGAAGGAGAAAAAGAAGAAGGAGGAGGAGGAGTCCTCGNAAAGGGTAAGCAATGGAAAAGGTGAGAGGAACTGCAGGTTAAAATGGTGTCTCAGAAAATATTGGTCAAAAGTTAGAGAATTAGCACACTATTCTCGGGGTTTCAAACTCAAGGCCTGGGTGCTTAGATCTGGCCCAGGTGGACACCAGGGCTGGGTTCCTGCCAGTTCTAACCTCTCCTATAGAAGAGGTTCCACAAATCTACAGTGCCATTATAGAACTGGTTCCAGCTCCCTCCCCCCCCCGTCCGTCCGCACATCATCATGATGAAGAGCGAGAGGAGGAATTCTGGGAGTTGAAGTCCACAAGTCTTAAAGCTGTCAAGTTTTAACACCCCTGGTTTTTTTCTAATGGATTAGGGGTGCGAGGGTCTTGTAACTTGACAGCTTTAAGACTTGCGTGCTTCAAATGCCAGAGTTCCTGAGCCAACATTTTGGGTGCTAAGCAAGAGCGTTGTTAAGTGAGTTTGACCACATTTTACAAGTTGGCCACGCCCACACAGTCACATGGCCGGCAAGCCACTCCCACAAACCAGGACACACCTACAGAAGAGGTTCTAAAAAAATTTGAAACCCACCACTGGTGGACACCCTGGCAACAGCAAAGGACCGGCCCACAGTCCCTCTGCCAGTGAAAACAGAGCTCAGGCCATGCCCCCCCCCCCAGCTCCATTTTTGCTGGCAGAGAGCTGCAGGAGATATATACAGATATATATCTGTGAGCCACATGGAGGAACAATTTAGAGGTATCTCAGAAAATAAGTGCTGACCAAGGTGTGCTTATACTGAAGTTAATGCAAGTGGAGAAAATCAAGATGTTTTTATCGGGATGACTGCTAGAATTACATGGAGATCACGATAATAATCCCACAACTCTCTCAGTCAGTTCTAGCATGCTAGTTCTCCTTGGCTGTTCCCTGCTTATTTCAGGTGCTTCAGGCCTCAAGGACAGAACTCGAAGCTTTGAATATTTGCTTGGATACCATCATTATTTGGACACCATCGTCATATTGCAGCATTAGTCAGGGATATAGCTCTCTTTTGATCAATTACAACTTCCTATTTCAACCGGCATTCCCCTCCAGATCTCTAACTGGTCAGCCAGGCTATTCATTAACCATATCTCTCTCTTTTGGGAAGGTGTTAGAACTGTGTTCACAATAGTTGAACCAACATATATCAGGACGGGCTTGAGATTTCAAAATAGATGGGGTGTACTT